CGTTTCCAAGATAATCGGCCTGGAAGCTTTTGCAAAATTTGAGGCAAAGTTTCAACTTTGAGCCTCAATATCTTCAGAAGTATTCAAGATATAGAATTGAATCTTATTTTATCTTGAAGATAATTTAATTCTGATTCAGAATATATAGTTTTACATTATATTTGTTACAATAATAACCGAGTAATCAGCAATTTTGTGAAAGAATATCAGATTATTGAAATTTTTTGAGCCCAAAAATTGCAAAAATCGTTTTTATTTTTTAACAAGGCTTTAAAACCCAAGAAGGAAAGTTGCAAATATGCTTTTCCACTAATTTTGATCTCCTCTTTCGATTGGTGAAGTCAAAAATTCAAAAATCTGAAAATTTAAAAATTCGAACTTTTCCCAAGGGGAATGCATGGAAATTTGATTTTCAAATATTTCAAATGCTTATATTTTGGAAACCATAAGCGCTATTGGCATGAATCTTTTGCCCAATTGTAGCTTTTAATAAGGGCTACAAAAAAGGTTATCTAAGACTCCGAGCCCAAGGGTTTCGTTTCCAAGATAATCGGCCTGGAAGCTTTTGCAAAATTTGAGGCAAAGTTTCAACTTTGAGCCTCAATATCTTCAGAAGTATTCAAGATATAGAATTGAATCTTATTTTATCTTGAAGATAATTTAATTCTGATTCAGAATATATAGTTTTACATTATATTTGTTACAATAATAACCGAGTAATCAGCAATTTTGTGAAAGAATATCAGATTATTGAAATTTTTTGAGCCCAAAAATTGCAAAAATCGTTTTTATTTTTTAACAAGGCTTTAAAACCCAAGAAGGAAAGTTGCAAATATGCTTTTCCACTAATTTTGATCTCCTCTTTCGATTGGTGAAGTCAAAAATTCAAAAATCTGAAAATTTAAAAATTCGAACTTTTCCCAAGGGGAATGCATGGAAATTTGATTTTCAAATATTTCAAATGCCTATATTTTGGAAACCATAAGCGCTATTGGCATGAATCTTTTGCTCAATTGTAGCTCTTAATAAGGGCTACAAAAAAGGTTATTTAAGACTCCGAGCCCAAGGGTTTCGTTTCCAAGATAATCGGCCTGGAAGCTTTTGCAAAATTTGAGGCAAAGTTTCAACTTTGAGCCTCAATATCTTCAGAAGTATTCAAGATATAGAATTGAATCTTATTTTATCTTGAAGATAATTTAATTCTGATTCAGAATATATAGTTTTACATTATATTTGTTACAATAATAACCGAGTAATCAGCAATTTTGTGAAAGAATATCAGATTATTGAAATTTTTTGAGCCCAAAAATTGCAATAATCGTTTTTATTTTTTAACAAGGCTTTAAAACCCAAGAAGGAAAGTTGCAAATATGCTTTTCCACTAATTTTGATCTCCTCTTTCGATTGGTGAAGTCAAAAATTCAAAAATCTGAAAATTTAAAAATTCGAACTTTTCCCAAGGGGAATGCATGGAAATTTGATTTTCAAATATTTCAAATGCCTATATTTTGGAAACCATAAGCGCTATTGGCATGAATCTTTTGCTCAATTGTAGCTCTTAATAAGGGCTACAAAAAAGGTTATTTAAGACTCCGAGCCCAAGGGTTTCGTTTCCAAGATAATCGGCCTGGAAGCTTTTGCAAAATTTGAGGCAAAGTTTCAACTTTGAGCCTCAATATCTTCAGAAGTATTCAAGATATAGAATTGAATCTTATTTTATCTTGAAGATAATTTAATTCTGATTCAGAATATATAGTTTTACATTATATTTGTTACAATAATAACCGAGTAATCAGCAATTTTGTGAAAGAATATCAGATTATTGAAATTTTTTGAGCCCAAAAATTGCAATAATCGTTTTTATTTTTTAACAAGGCTTTAAAACCCAAGAAGGAAAGTTGCAAATATGCTTTTCCACTAATTTTGATCTCCTCTTTCGATTGGTGAAGTCAAAAATTCAAAAATCTGAAAATTTAAAAATTCGAACTTTTCCCAAGGGGAATGCATGGAAATTTGATTTTCAAATATTTCAAATGCTTATATTTTGGAAACCTTAAGCGCTGTTGGCATGAATCTTCTGCCCAATTGTAGCTCTTAATAAGGGCTACAAAAAAGGTTATATAAGACTCCGAGCCCAAGGGTTTCGTTTCCAAGATAATCGGCCTGGAAGCTTTTGCAAAATTTGAGGCAAAGTTTCAACTTTGAGCCTCAATATCTTCAGAAGTATTCAAGATATAGAATTGAATCTTATTTTATCTTGAAGATAATTTAATTCTGATGCAGAATATATAGTTTTACATTATATTTGTTACAATAATAACCGAGTAATCAGCAATTTTGTGAAAGAATATCAGATTATTGAAATTTTTTGAGCCCAAAAATTGCAAAAATCGTTTTTATTTTTTAACAAGGCTTTAAAACCCAAGAAGGAAAGTTGCAAATATGCTTTTCCACTAATTTTGATCTCCTCTTTCGATTGGTGAAGTCAAAAATTCAAAAATCTGAAAATTTAAAAATTCGAACTTTTCCCAAGGGGAATGCATGGAAATTTGATTTTCAAATATTTCAAATGCTTATATTTTGGAAACCTTAAGCGCTGTTGGCATGAATCTTTTGCCCAATTGTAGCTCTTAATAAGGGCTACAAAAAAGGTTATCTAAGACTCCGAGCCCAAGGGTTTCGTTTCCAAGATAATCGGCCTGGAAGCTTTTGCAAAATTTGAGGCAAAGTTTCAACTTTGAGCCTCAATATCTTCAGAAGTATTCAAGATATAGAATTGAATCTTATTTTATCTTGAAGATAATTTAATTCTGATTCAGAATATATAGTTTTACATTATATTTGTTACAATAATAACCGAGTAATCAGCAATTTTGTGAAAGAATATCAGATTATTGAAATTTTTTGAGCCCAAAAATTGCAAAAATCGTTTTTATTTTTTAACAAGGCTTTAAAACCCAAGAAGGAAAGTTGCAAATATGCTTTTCCACTAATTTTGATCTCCTCTTTCGATTGGTGAAGTCAAAAATTCAAAAATCTGAAAATTTAAAAATTCGAACTTTTCCCAAGGGGAATGCATGGAAATTTGATTTTCAAATATTTCAAATGCTTATATTTTGGAAACCATAAGCGCTATTGGCATGAATCTTTTGCCCAATTGTAGCTCTTAATAAGGGCTACAAAAAAGGTTATTTAAGACTCCGAGCCCAAGGGTTTCGTTTCCAAGATAATCGGCCTGGAAGCTTTTGTATAATTTGAGGCAAAGTTTCAACTTTGAGCCTCAATATCTTCAGAAGTATTTGAGATATACGATTGAATCTTATTTTATTTTGAAGATAATTTATTTCTGATTCAGAATATATAGTTTTACATTATATTTGTTACAATAATAACCGAGTAATCAGCAATTTTGTGAAAGAATATCAGATTATTGAAATTTTTTGAGCCCAAAAATTGTAAAAATCGTTTTTATTTTTTAACAAGGCTTTAAAACCCAAGAAGGAAAGTTGCAAATATGCTTTTCCACTAATTTTGATCTCCTCTTTCGATTGGTGAAGTCAAAAATTCAAAAATCTGAAAATTTAAAAATTCGAACTTTTCCCAAGGGGAATGCATGGAAATTTGATTTTCAAATATTTCAAATGCTTATATTTTGGAAACCTTAAGCGCTGTTGGCATGAATCTTCTGCCCAATTGTAGCTCTTAATAAGGGCTACAAAAAAGGTTATATAAGACTCCGAGCCCAAGGGTTTCGTTTCCAAGATAATCGGCCTGGAAGCTTTTGCAAAATTTGAGGCAAAGTTTCAACTTTGAGCCTCAATATCTTCAGAAGTATTCAAGATATAGAATTGAATCTTATTTTATCTTGAAGATAATTTAATTCTGATGCAGAATATTTAGTTTTACATTATATTTGTTACAATAATAACCGAGTAATCAGCAATTTTGTGAAAGAATATCAGATTATTGAAATTTTTTGAGCCCAAAAATTGCAAAAATCGTTTTTATTTTTTAACAAGGCTTTAAAACCCAAGAAGGAAAGTTGCAAATATGCTTTTCCACTAATTTTGATCTCCTCTTTCGATTGGTGAAGTCAAAAATTCAAAAATCTGAAAATTTAAAAATTCGAACTTTTCCCAAGGGGAATGCATGGAAATTTTTTGATTTTCAAATATTTCAAATGCTTATATTTTGGAAACCATAAGCGCTATTGGCATGAATCTTCTGCCCAATTGTAGCTCTTGATAAGGGCTACAAAAAAGGTTATTTAAGACTCCGAGCCCAAGGGTTTCGTTTCCAAGATAATCGGCCTGGAAGCTTTTGCAAAATTTGAAGCAAAGTTTCAACTTTGAGCCTCAATATCTTCAAAAGTATTCAAGATATAAAATTGAATCTTATTTTATCTTAAAGATAATTTAATTCTGATTCAGATTATATAATTATGCATCATAATCTATCCATTATTAACGGAGTTATAAGTGATTTTATGAAGCCAAGTCAAGAAATTCCAATTTTCCGAGCTCAAAAATTGCAAAAACCATTTTCAATTTTTTCAAGGCCTTAATACATCAGAAACGAAAGTTGCAAAATGGCTTTTCCACTAAATTTAACCTCTTCTCTCGATTGCAATACTCAAAAATCAATCAACTTTACCTTCATAGCCCTGGTCACGCTCTGTTCCATACCGCAATAAGTTGAAACGCGGCATTTCGTGTCCATCAAATTCAAATCCGCTCCCATGTTATCGATGGGAAAACATCCCTGAGCGTGCAAACCCGATATCAACGGATTCTGTTTCAACATAAAACTGGTAAAAATCCCTAAACGAGTGCTGCCTCCCAACAAGCAAACTTGCACGGTCTTTTGGTAATCGGTGCAATAATTTCGCACACATAGAGAATACTTATTGATGATATTATTCATGATGATTTAAGTAGGTACGTGAAATTTTGACACAATTTTTGACACAAATAACATACCAATTTCAAACAATTACTTACAATTTTGCTGTTTAAATGTTGCAACTCCCTTTCGGCCAAGCGTTTGGTTGCGTTTTCTTTCCGCTTCCTCTTGTACTGGTTGTACTTGTAAAACAAGTACATGCCAGGCAAGGCCAGTACCACGAAGGGCTTCATCAAAGGGCTACGACGTTCCGGCATGTTTTCTTTATGAATCAGAGATCATGTTTACGCCCACACACCGTCCGAAGATGGGTGCAACGGACGCCCTTTTTGCGACGTCGCGACGCTCACACTGCAGGGCTACATTCGTTCCTGCTTTTTCAACTACTGTGGGCTAAAATAAATGTCAGGAACGCGGCAATTTCGATTATTTGCGCGCGCCCTTCCATTGCAAAATAAGGGCACTTTTGTTTTGATGAAAGAGGGCTAAAAATAGAAGCAATTAATATTAGAATAAAAACAACTACTTTATTAATTAATTAATTAATATCACAAAATGGCAAATTCATCATTCATTTTTATGTATTATTGGCGCAACTTTCGAAATATTTACAAATTTCTCTTACAGCGTTCATATTGCTCAGATCGTGGCAAGACTTGGCACGTTTGGGCTCAGGTTTTCTGAAAGGTTTGGACGAGACGTCTTCTGAGCTGCGCACCTTACGGCCCATTTTGCACAGGGATTCGAACAGGCAAAGTTTCTCTTTGACTGGCACGTACGTTTCGGTGTTTTGGCACTTCTTCAGGAGAGTTTCAACTACTTCTTCAGGCGAATCACAGTTGCTATTTGGTGGTGGTTTTACTTTTACTCTTTCGCCCAATGTTAGTATATCTAAATACTTGATTGCATCCACTGGGGTTTGCCTTATTAATTCAATTGCTATAGTTTTCACCCACTGATCAAAGGTTTGTTCGTTTTGCGTCTAGAAACAAATCGATATAAATCTAATAAAGTTATTAACTTAATTATTACCTACTTGTAACGTTAAAACGATATTTTGTCCCCGGCAAATTGCTAGACTGTGAGGCAAAGGGCCTGCTTGCAAGCTGAGATGCCTCAGAGGCATTTTCATCGAAGTAGGCTCAGAAACGTGCAATTGGCCGGCACGCACTTGCACTCGGCGTTTGCACCAAGTAGAACCGCATTTTATCATCAAGTCACCTGAAATCATTAAGTGCATTAGTTGATGAAACAAGCAATCAGTGAAAGGTAATTAGTATAGCCACCAACCTCCTTGTAATGGGCTACTTTCTCTGCATTTTCTATATCTCTTGTTTGGTATTTAAACGCAGCTATTTGAGGAACTGATTTTGATTTCAAGGATTTTTATTGTTTATTAATATTGTGGGAACAAGGAGTACTATTGTTCAATTTATTATAAATTGATAAGAAACAGAGACGCAAACTAAGCAGGAATTGTAATATCGTCATATTATTATAAATAGGGGCGAGAAAACTGTTTTTTTCTCAACGGCATAAGTAAATGAGGGTACAAAAAGTACAAAAGACTTTTACATAGAGACGGTTGGGCCAATTAAAAAATATACAATAGAATACAGGAAGTTTTGTAATAACATTATTATTGATATAATTATGGTAATTATTATTGCAAAAAGTGAAAGTTTTTGTTGCATTATTGATTATACAAATACATCTTAATAATATAAATGTTAACCCAGATATAGTTATTTCTACCTGAAATTCTAGGCCTCAAATTGGTACTACTAGCAGCCGAGTTTAAGTAAGTCTTCCGCACCATCGAAACAATTTTTGGGGCCCTACTACAATCGAAATCCCTATAGGGTGCCGCTATCAACATTTCACTTTTTCCGTTTTTTTTTTTTTAATCACTACTAGGCCATTTTAACGCAGTAGGTCAAGTACCGCAGATAGTACTAAAAATAAATCGCGTTCCGGCGACGATTCGACAATGAAAGAGTCGGGACAGTTTTTGTTGCCCGAGGCGCGTCTATTTAGTTTCCCCTACTATAATCTTTCTATTATTTATTAATGGTCTTAGGTTGGTGGTTGGGTCCCTTTTTTTTATTGTATTTTAGGGTGGGATGAGTCTTAAGATTCAATTTTTGGGTTTGGAAAATTTTCAAAATCTTGACATGGTCATGAGCAATTGCCCATATTTTTGGTAAATTTTGAGCAAATTAAATTAAATTATATATCATCAGAAAGAGCAATAAAAATCCGTGCAAAATTGAGTTCAATAGCTCAAACAGTTTTCGAGCAATTGAGCGTCAAAGTTGACTTTTAGCCCGAATTTTGTCGAAAACTTCAAACTCAATTTGCTCAGAAACTATAAGCCTAGAAATAATATAAATCATAGGTCTTCTAAAGCTTGCTAAGAGCTACAAATGCTGAGAATTTCAATGCAATTTGCTCAACGATTACCGAGCAATTGAAGTTCGAATATTTTGAAATCAAAATTCAAATTATAAAAAATCTCATTTTTTAAATTTTTCAGTTTTGCTCAATTTTGGCTTTACCAATTGATAGAGCAGATCAACATTAGTGGAAAACAACCCTAACATCAATTCCAAATGGCCATTTTAAGCTGAAAAAAAAAATTAAAAAGGAAATCTTATTTTTGGCTCTGGAAAGTTTTCAAAATCTTGACAATTGCCCATATCTTCATTAAATTTTGAGCAAATTAGAATAAATTATATACCTATCATTGGAAAGAGCAATAAATTCTCTATAAATCCGTGAAAAATTGAGTTGAATAGCTCAAACAGTTTTTGAAATATTGAGGCTCAAAGTCAAAACTTTGTCTCAAATTTGGCAAAAGCCGTTTTTCTCGAAAACGAGGCCCTTGGGCTCGGATCAAAAGGTCCAATTGGGCAAAAAATTCATACCAAAATTTCCATGCATACCCCTTTGCCTTACAAAATCGCCCATAACTTACAAATTCCTTTACAAAATGATATTCTTTTAATCAGAATTAAATGCTCTTGTAAAATTAACCTTTTTTGGGCTCTCAATGACAACTTTTTAGTGGGTTTTCGCAATGCAGATTCATTCCTCAGTCAAGATAATGTTGGAAAGGATTGTCAGGAATCATATGGAATAAAATGAAAGAATTACTGTTTCCTGTTTCTGTATACCAATGAATAAAAATACAATTACTCACCGGGGGGTTTTACCGCCCCTTGCCTCTTGGTCATTTTGGCAACATTACTAAATATTCCTGGCTAAAAATATAATTGAAATAGCAGGATTAATCTTCACTTATATCTTCTTTCTTCGACGACTAGCTAGTGCCCCCCTGAAATAAGTCAAGGATTCCCTGGATACTTAATTGCCGCTAAACAATCAGTATCCCAACTAATTGGGTATTGGGGTGTTTGCTCTACACTCCTATCAGAGCTGGACAAAGCCCTCAGTAAAACGGCTTGAAGCACTATAAGCCCTAAGCCCTTTATCAAAGTGCTTTCAATTTCAAGCACTTTCAGAAGTGCTTCACAAGCACAAAGCCCTCAGTGCTTTGGGCTTGACAAGCACAAAGCCCTCAAAGTGATTTGAAAAGTGCTTGAAGCATATCAAAAGTGCTTGGGGAGCCTTCAAAAGTGCTTTGAAGCCCTTTAAATGTGCTTGAAGTTGTTTAAATAAGCTTGAATCTCTCTAAATGTGCTCGAAGCTCTTTAAATGTACTTGCAGCTCTTTAAATGTGCATAAAGCATTTTGAATTTATAATATAATTCTCAAAGTGGCATAAGCTACCGCATACACTCATCAGTTGAATTGGTATAGTAGAGATGAACTTTACATTTCACAGCGTAGCAGTAGTATGTTTTTTTTTTGAGATGTAGTTCTGGGGTAGTTGGGGTACTATGGTGCTTCAAGCTTCAAGCCCTTTCAAAGTGCTTCAAGTTCCCAAGTGCTTCAAGCACTTTCACAAGCACAAAGCACTCAAGCCCTGCCCAGTTCTGACCCCTATACCTATTTGAGAGTCAATCAAGTCGCAAGTAAGGCCCCTAATCTTACAAGACACAACCTGAAGAAATGGCGCCCATATCAGCGTATTTCTATGAGTTTCTACACCAGCGTCAGCCAGCGTGCAATAATATATGATTCATAAATATCAGGTTATACACAGTATAATATTTCAACAATATTAGCCAAGGGCTTACCAAAATCCGTGTACACACACAAACAATAAAAACAACCTCTGTTCCTTTCTGCTTGACTCACCGCTCACCACTTATCCCTTCTCAAAGGAAGAGGTTCTGGGCAGCTTGGACTATTTAATTAAGAGACGACAAATGCCTTTATCGAATAATTGAGTAAAATTTATCGTCTTCCGCTCTGCCCATTAACCTTAGATGGTATTTTACTGGACAGTGTCCTGTGAGCAGTCCCACTACTAATCTAATGTCTGGTCTGCTCATGCTTAGGAGCTGTTCAGCTCTTTTTGCTGAAACCTTTTCTCTGAGTCCCGGTGTGTGCGTCCAGTATGATGACAGTTGGTCTTTCTCCCATTTATTGAGTTCTTCCATGATGAGGCTTTTCATTAAGCCACAGTAGGGCTCTGGTCCATGGTATGGTGTTGAGGCCCCTTCCTTTGCGAGGCCATCTGCTTCTTCATTACCTTCTATGCCTCTATGACCCAGGCAGCCACATCAGCGTTACCTGGTTGTGTGTCGCTAGTGTTTTTAGGGTCTGTTTACACTCCCAGACGTGCATTATTGAAAGCCCTTAAAGCTTTCAAGGCAACTTGGTCCAATAGTATGAAGATGATGTGTTTTCTTTTGAGGCTTTGGCTAAGACACTCTATGGCAAGCAGCTCGGCTTGGAATATTGTAAGATGTTTACCCAATGCCTTGGAGAGCTTGCAGTTACGGCCGGAGATGCCCAGTCCAGCTCCTTCCATTAGCTTGGATCCATCTGTATACCACAGAGATGCATATTGTCTGCTTGTGGCAATTCTTTATTCTCCCATGATTGGCGGTCGTTTATTACCACTGCGAATGGGATCTCTAAGTCCAATCTGACCATCATGTGGTCGCTTGGTTTGCTGGCATTCTCCAGTTTTATTAAATCAAGGATTCGCAGATGTCCCCTATATGTCTATTTGGAATAGCCTGTGAGCGCTGGGTTATTGCCTCCTTTTTCACACATAGATAAAGTGGGGGCATGTATTGAATAGCGTCTCTAAGGCTGCGGTGGAGCAAGTTGACATTTGCTCCCGTTATTCCTAGACAAATCAGCCTTTGCACCTTTCTGAGCTTGATCTGAGCAGTGACTTGTTGGGTTTTGGGCCACCACACCAATGATATATGCGTATGTGACCATGGGTTTTATTATAGTTTGGTAAATCCAGAATACCATCTTTGGCTTTAGCCCCCATGTTTTGCTAACAAGTTTTCGGCATGACCAAATGGCTAATGTAGCTCGAGAGCATGTTTTCTCTAACTGTTTGTTTCAGGGTGTAGGAAATCATTAAAGAAACATTGTGTTTACACAGGGCTTGAGCTTATTTTTTGGAATTCCTCAAATATTACATCAACAAATTAAATTTAATCATCTCTATTAACAATAATGCAATCTCTATTTGAGTCACGTATAAATAATCTCATTAGTTTATTTATACCCAAATGAGTAATGCAAATGAATTATTAGGTAGGTACTTTTTATTTATTACATACACGAACACATTTAATTAAATATTATACATAAATAACAAGTAAAAAGTTAAAAAAATAATAGAAAATTTCGTATAAAAGCTTTGTTCCTGAGCTTATTTTATGTGTTAAGGCAATTTTGTGCTAACAACATCAAATCTATATTCTAATAAAAGCACACATTGACATGAGTATAAGGATTTGTTTTTCAAAAAAAATAATTAAAAGTCTCCCCGCCACGTGATAAGGGCGTCCAACAAGAAAAAGACCCCATTGATAACCGCCATGGACCCTTTGGCCAAACCATAATCTCTGTGCTCTCCCTTCCAACTGTTATCGTAATGTTTGATGTTAAGGGCGCCTGCAGCTACAAAAATAGCGCAACCCACCAAGCTGTAGAAGATGTCGATTTTCTTGTTGATTGGAGCACTAATTAGGTACCCTATAATAATTGAAATGGTAATATTTATAAGGGTTTTAAATTGATTACCTGCAAATCCTCCAACCAGGATGATAATGAAACCCCCAAATGCGACAGCGGACAAAGTGTCGACGTTCCAGTCTCCAGTTTGGCTTTTGTAGTGTAGACCGACGCAAACGACTGCTACAAGCTGCAAATTTCATTCAAAAGTGATTTTATATAATATTGTTTCTGATGTAAACGCAACCAATGTATTTTTTATAGGGCCATAGATTAATTCAATGGCAATGACTCGATTTACATCGGCATACTTATTATCTTCAGGCATTCAAATGTAAATTTTATTAAGCATAATTCCAAAAATAGAAGCATCATAAACAAGATGTTGATAATCAGAGAAATGTTTAGTTAAATAGGAGTCATATTTATTTTTAGTATTTTACTTTTAAGTTGCAATATAATGTTTTCTTACCAGTTCCAGAAACTTAATAATCGACAACCTACTGATGGCCATTATATGTGTTTGTGTGGCTTAAGTTACCTACAAACAGAATATTATTTTTCTTAAACCACTGAGTCGATTTACTACGGAGGCTCGCAACGAAACACTGAAACTGGTTTTCCTTCCGACGCCCCGATTTCTCATCAAAACTACGTAATACTTTTCTCAGGACCGCATTTAGTTGACCAGCGAGTCTCTGTCTCCTATTGATTATGACGAGTTTGATTCAACAAAAGTCCTGCTCATGCATTATAAAAGTCCGTGACATAGTTCAAATGATGTCATAGCTATAACTGAAAATGGTTTGTTGTTGCTTTTTTCACGGCTAAATACTTAAAACCTTGATGATGTCATAATATGGAGAATTAGTAATTTATTATAAGGGCCTTTTTAAATAAACATGACTTAATAGTTAGTAATAGTGCACTTTTGCGCATATAGTAAAAAGGTGTTTTGTTGATTATTAGTTATGGAGTTGCATAAATTGAAATTGTTTAGGTAAGTTGGCATTATAAAAGGAATAGAATTAAAACAAAAAAGTTAATTCCGGTACCGGGAATCGAACCCGAGCCTCCTGGGTGAGAGCCAGGTATCCTAGCCACTAGACCATACCGGATTTACTTACCTAAAGCCTCAATTCTCATAAATCCTACTTAAATTAGCAAAAAAAAAATTCTATTGCACTGCCCGGGAATCGAACCCGAGTCGCAAGAATGGGAATCTTGCATGATACCACTACACCAGCAGTGCCGCTGAGGCAAAATATTCGGGAAACCCCACACTCTATGCCGCAATCTATGCAACTCAATTTAACTAGTTGAATTTGGGAAATATTTGTCATAGCCCGGGTAGCTCAGTCGGTAGAGCATTGGACTTTTAATCCAAGGGTCCAGGGTTCAAGTCCCTGCTCGGGCGTAATTTTTTTTTGCCTCATATTGAAATTATTATTGTACTAAACTTGGTACATTTATTTGGCAAAGTGAAAGTCACTTTTTGAAGGCCTCTAGGCGATCCTCCAATAATAAATAAACTCATTATCGTGTAAAGAATTCAATAATGTACAAATGTAAGTCGGCGGAACATTTAGAATCTCACGCGGACTCGGTGGTTAATTCTCCAAAATCTAAAGCCCAAAGCGACCAGTCATTTGGTTTAAAGCAATTCGACGACGTTTTCGATCGATTATTGGATGATTCCGAGGACAATCGCAAACAAAAACGATCTGGGACATGGCCGTGAGTACCCAAAATACAATAATTATTGTACAGTCTAGAGAAGGGCCTACTATATCGATATTGATTTTGTTTCAGAAGAACGAGATCGTTGAACGCACCTTCGCCAGTACAACATTTCGGACCATGCGGTCGTATAATGAAAAATTCTGCTATGGTCATGTAAGTATATCGATAAAACCGCAATCTTACTAAAAACCAACGTCATTTGAATTGTTGATTGCGGTAGTCGTTCAAAAGATAAATAAACCATTGAGTTTGATAACCAATTTAATTTATGTACCTATACATACACATTAATTCAATGACAAAGCGAAAAATAATGATCGATTTTATTAAAAAATGGTCGCTGAAGGGGATCTGATCAGTGCAGTTTACGGAAATAATAATTTTACAGTTTGTAAAAGCAATGCTATACAATATAGGTAAGATTTACTTAAAAGTTATCAAATTCTATGCAAATTATTACTAAGTGGCAACGCTGTGCAACAAAAACCTTTCTCAGGGTTGCCAGATTGTGTACAAACTCTCGTTTTTTAGGACAATCCAAGACCCGGCCAGTCAAAGACTGACATGGTACAAGCCTCCCCTAAGCGTGTTGGTCATCAAAAAGGCCAGAGACGCCTCGGTTTATTCCCCATTTGTCAAACTAGTACAATGGCTCATAGAGGTAATAATTGTACTACTTATAAAACAACTCAATATTTAAGTTAGTGCCTGCCGGATTCTCATAAATTCTAAGGGCTGTTTGTGCCATATTGGAAATAGCTATGAATGTTAGGTACTACCACGTACTACGTACTCCTAACAATAAACAAAAATTGGTTTTGTGGTTTTGGAGAGACTACAATCGAAAATTGACAGATATCCCGATTTTTTTAGGGTTTTTAATTTTTTTGGGACACTCAGACGGCGGGATATTTCACAAGACTAATTTCTCTTGATTACTAGGGGTGGTAGCTAACATGTGTAGCTATTTTCAAAGCGGCACAAATCACTGTGTAGAAACTACATTCGAAAATTGACAAAAATCATGACTTTTTTAGGGTTTTTAATTTTTTTGAGACACTCATACGGCGGGACATTTCACAAAACTAATTTCTCTTGATTGCCAGGGGTGGTAGCTAACATGTGTAGCTATTTTCAAAGCGGCACAAACCACTGTGTAGAGACTACCTTCGAAAATTGACAAAAATCATGACTTTTTTAGGGTTTTTAATTTTTTTGAGACACTCAGACACCGGAGCATTTCACAAAACTAATTTCTCTTGATTGCTAGGGGTGGTAGCTAACATGTGTAGCTATTTTCAAAGCGGCACAAACCACTGTGTAGAAACTACATTCGAAAATTGACAGAAATCACTACTTTTTTAGGGTTTTGAATTTTTTTGAGACACTCAGACAGCGGTCATTTCACAAAACTAATTTCTCTTGATTGCTAGGGGTGGTAGCTAACATGTGTAGCTATTTTCAAAGCGGCACAAACCACTGTGTAGCGACTACATTTGAAAACTAACAAAAATCATGATTTTTTTAGGGTTTTTAATTTTTTTGAGACATTCAGACGGCGGGGCATTACACAAAACTATTTTTTCTTGATTTTTAGGGGTGGTAGCTAACATGTATAGCTATTTTCAAAGCGGCACAAATCACTGTGTAGAAACTACATTCGAAAATTGACAGAAATCACTACTTTTTTAGGGTTTTTAATTTTTTTGAGACATTCAGACGGTGGGGCATTACACAAAACTAATTTTTATTGATTTTTAGGGGTGGTAGCTAACATGTGTAGCTATTTTCAAAGCGGCACAAACCAGTGTGTAGAAACTACATTCGAAAATTGACAGAAATCACTACTTTTTTAGGGTTTTGAATTTTTTTGAGACACTCAGACGGCGGGACATTTCACAAAACTAATTTCTCTTGATTGCTAGGGGTGGTAGCTAACATGTGTAGCTATTTTCAAAGCGGCACAAACCACTGTGTAGAGACTACATTCGAAAATTGACAAAAATCATGACTTTTTTAGGGTTTTTAATTTTTTTGAGACACTCAGGCGACGGGGCATTACACAAAACTAATTTTTTTTGATTTTTAGGGGTGGTAGCTAACATGTGTAGCTATTTTTAAAGCGGCACAAACCACTGTGGAGAAACTACATTCGAAAATTGACAGAAATCACTACTTTTTTAGGGTTTTTAATTTTTTTGAGACACTCAGACGGCGGGCATTTCACAAAACTAATTTCTCTTGATTGCTAGGGGTGGTAGCTAACATGTGTAGCTATTTTCAAAGCGGCACAAACCACTGTGTAGCGACTACATTTGAAAACTAACAAAAATCATGATTTTTTTAGGGTTTTTAATTTTTTTGAGACATTCAGACGGCGGGGCATTACACAAAACTATTTTTTCTTGATTTTTAGGGGTGGTAGCTAACATGTGTAGCTATTTTCAAAGCGGCACAAATCACTGTGTAGAAACTACATTCGAAAATTGACAGAAATCACTACTTTTTTAGGGTTTTGAATTTTTTTGAGACACTCAGACGGCGGGACATTTCACAAAACTAATTTCTCTTGATTTCTAGGGGTGGTAGCTAACATGTGTAGCTATTTTCAAAGCGGCACAAACCACTGTGTAGAGACTACATTCGAAAATTGACAAAAATCATGACTTTTTTAGGGTTTTTAATTTTTTTGAGACACTCAGGCGACGGGGCATTACACAAAACTATTTTTTTTTGATTTTTAGGGGTGGTAGCTAACATGTGTAGCTATTTTTAAAGCGGCACAAACCACTGTGGAGAAACTACATTCGAAAATTGACAGAAATCACTACTTTTTTAGGGTTTTTAATTTTTTTGAGACACTCAGACGGCGGGCATTTCACAAAACTAATTTCTCTTGATTGCTAGGGGTGGTAGCTAACATGTGTAGCTATTTTCAAAGCGGCACAAACCACTGTGTAGCGACTACATTTGAAAACTAACAAAAATCATGATTTTTTTAGGGTTTTTAATTTTTTTGAGACATTCAGACGGCGGGGCATTACACAAAACTATTTTTTCTTGATTTTTAGGGGTGGTAGCTAACATGTGTAGCTATTTTCAAAGCGGCACAAATCACTGTGTAGAAACTACATTCGAAAATTGACAGAAATCACTACTTTTTTAGGGTTTTGAATTTTTTTGAGACACTCAGACGGCGGGACATTTCACAAAACTAATTTCTCTTGATTTCTAGGGGTGGTAGCTAACATGTGTAGCTATTTTCAAAGCGGCACAAACCACTGTGTAGAGACTACATTCGAAAATTGACAAAAATCATGACTTTTTTAGGGTTTTTAATTTTTTTGAGACACTCAGGCGACGGGGCATTACACAAAACTAATTTTTTTTGATTTTTAGGGGTGGTAGCTAACATGTGTAGCTATTTTCAAAGCGGCACAAACCACTGTGGAGAAACTACATTCGAAAATTGACAGAAATCACTACTTTTTTAGGGTTTTGAATTTTTTTGAGACACTCAAACGGCGGGACATTTCACAAAACTAATTTCTCTTGATTGCTAGGGGTGGTAGCTAACATGTGTAGCTATTTTCAAAGCGGCACAAACCACTGTGGAGAAACTACATTCGAAAATTGACAGAAATCACTACTTTTTTAGGGTTTTGAATTTTTTTGAGACACTCAGACGGCGGGACATTTCACAAAACTAATTTCTCTTGATTGCTAGGGGTGGTAGCTAACATGTGTAGCTATTTTCAAAGCGGCACAAACCACTGTGTAGAAACTACATTCGAAAATTGACAAAAATCATGACTTTTTTAGGGTTTTTAATTTTTTTGAGACACTCAGGCGACGGGGTATTACACAAAACTAATTTTTTTTGATTTTTAGGGGTGGTAGCTAACATGTGTAGCTATTTTTAAAGCGGCACAAACCACTGTGGAGAAACTACATTCGAAAATTGACAGAAATCACTACTTTTTTAGGGTTTTTAATTTTTTTGAGACATTCAGACGGCGGGGCATTTCACAAAACTAATTTTTCTTGATTTTTAGGGGTGATAGCTAACATGTGTAGCTATTTTCAAAGCGGCACAAACCACTGTGTAGAAACTACATTCGAAAATTGACAAAAATCATGACTTTTTTAGGGTTTTTAATTTTTTTGAGACACTCAGGCGACGGGGTATTACACAAAACTAATTTTTTTTGATTTTTAGGGGTGGTAGCTAACATGTGTAGCTATTTTTAAAGCGGCACAAACCACTGTGGAGAAACTACATTCGAAAATTGACAGAAATCACTACTTTTTTAGGGTTTTTAATTTTTATGAGACATTCAGACGGCGGGGCATTACACAAAACTAATTTTTCTTGATTTTTAGGGGTGGTAGCTAACATGTGTAGCTATTTTCAAAGCGGCACAAACCACTGTGTAGAAACTACATTCGAAAATTGACAGAAATCACTACTTTTTTAGGGTTTTGAATTTTTTTGAGACACTCAAACGGCGGGACATTTCACAAAACTAATTTCTCTTGATTGCTAGGGGTGGTAGCTAACATGTGTAGCTATTTTCAAAGCGGCACAAACCACTGTGGAGAAACTACATTCGAAAATTGACAGAAATCACTACTTTTTTAGGGTTTTGAATTTTTTTGAGACACTCAGACGGCGGGACATTTCACAAAACTAATTTCTCTTGATTGCTAGGGGTGGTAGCTAACATGTGTAGCTATTTTCAAAGCGGCACAAACCACTGTGTAGAGACTACATTCGAAAATTGACAAAAATCATGACTTTTTTAGGGTTTTTAATTTTTTTGAGACACTCAGACGGCGGGACATTACACAAAACTAATTTTTTTTGATTTTTAGGGGTGGTAGCTAACATGTGTAGCTATTTTCAAAGCGGCACAAACCACTGTGTAGAAACTACATTCGAAAATTGACAGAAATCACTACTTTTTTAGGGTTTTGAATTTTTTTGAGACACTCAAACGGCGGGACATTTCACAAAACTAATTTCTCTTGATTGCTAGGGGTGGTAGCTAACATGTGTAGCTATTTTCAAAGCGGCACAAACCACTGTGTAGAAACTACATTCGAAAATTGACAGAAATCACTACTTTTTTAGGGGTTTGAATTTTTTTGAGACACTCAGACGGCGGGCATTTCACAAAACTAATTTCTCTTGATTGCTAGGGGTGGTAGCTAACATGTGTAGCTATTTTCAAAGCGGCACAAACCACTGTGTAGCGACTACATTTGAAAACTAACAAAAATCATGATTTTTTTAGGGTTTTTAATTTTTTTGAGACATTCAGACGGCGGGGCATTACACAAAACTATTTTTTCTTGATTTTTAGGGGTGGTAGCTAACATGTGTAGCTATTTTCAAAGCGGCACAAATCACTGTGTAGAAACTACATTCGAAAATTGACAGAAATCACTACTTTTTTAGGGTTTTTAATTTTTTTGAGACATTCAGACGGTGGGGCATTACACAAA